GCGTGAGCTGTGGTGACCCCACTCCTGTGCACGGCCATGCTGGGGATGTGCCTTTTTCTTTTTTAGACGGAGTCTCGCTCTTTTGCCCAGGCTAGAGCGCAGTGGCACGATCTCGGCTCCAGGCTGGAGCGCAGTGGCACGATCTCGGCTCACTGCAACCTCTGCCTCCCAGGTTCGTGCAATTCTCTGCCTCAGCCGCCTGAGTAGCTGGGATTACAGTCACCCCCCACCACGTCGGGCTAATTTTTGTATCTTTAGTAGACACGGGGTTTCACCATCTTGGCCAGGATGGTCTTGAACTCCTCACCTCGTGATCCACCCGCCTCAGCCTCCCAAAGTGCTGGGATTCCAGGTGTGAGCCACTGCACCTGGCTGGGGTGTGCTTTTAATTTGCATTTTTTGGCTGACTCCTGGTTTAGTTTTGGATGTGAGTTTTCTCCACTGGACTGAGTCACAGCTGCAGCGCTGTGTTGGTGCTGGACATGAGGGAGGTGGCCGGGGACACCGATGGGACCAAGTGGCCGTAGCTGAAGAAGGGACGGCAGTCAGTACCCCTCACCCCTGCTTAGTGGCCAGCAGATTTCTTAAGTTACCAACTCTCTTTACTGCCCAAACATCCAGAAACACCCACGCATGGCTAACCTAGTTTCTCTAAACCAGACCCATATTAAAATTTAACTTCCTTCCTGGGCGTTTTGGGGGAGGAATCTCCTCGTGTGCCCTGGGAGAGGGATCCGTGAGACGCAGCCCCCGCCCCCTACCGCAGCTCATCTCTTCCAGCACAGGGACTGGGCGCCATACTGCTTCGGGGCACCCCTAGTTCCAGACAGCACCTCCACACCTCACGGCCAACGCTGGGGCCCCTCCCAGGCTCCACTGTCCTGGGATCCCCCACCAGCAGGGCCTTCTGGAGAAATGGACAGCAATGGCCTGGAGTATAGACTGCTGGGCACTGCCCGCGAGGCTCCTCAGCATGGGCTGGAGAATCGGGGTGACGCGTGCACCCCAGCCAAGAGGGACACCCAAGGCAGCCCCATCCAACGCCTCTGTGTGGGGGAACGAGCAGCGGCTCTGATGGCTGAGCCGGGCTCAAGTCCTCAACCTGACACGGCCAGGTTCTGACCGCAAGGACCGCCCCATCCACGCCCCTCCACAGCCACGAGACCCACAAGGAACAGCGAGAATGCCACAACCGTGACAGCTGGGGCTGGGGTCACATTGGGCTGTCCCGGTCACAGCCCGTCCATCCATCTGTCCTTCCACTGCGGCTGCCAACGGGGCAGACAGGGGGACTTGCGCAGAGAACCACCATGGAGGAGTGATGCATCCACAGGAGATAAACTGGAGCCCAGCGCCTCCCCCCTGCCCGTGCCCCGACGCACACCTGCCCACACCTGGATGAGCTGCCAGCACGGGAACACTCTCCTTCTTCTGGAAACCCTCGCGGCACCCACAGGAAGGGGGCGTCCACAGGAAGGGGGCACTGAAATGTCTGTGACTGCATTTTGTTTTGTTCTGTTTTGAAACAGAGTCTCGCTCTGTCACCCAGGCTGGAGTGCAGTGGTGCGATCTCGGCTCACTGCAGCCTCCGCCTCCCGGTTTCAAGTGATTCTCCTGCCTCAGCCTCCCAAGTAAGCTGTGATTACAGGCATGTACCACCACGCCCGGCTAATTTTTTGTATTTTTGGTAGAGACAAGGTTTCGCCACGTTGGCCAGGCTGGTCTCAAACTCCCGACCTCAAGTGATCCGCCCGCCTCAGCCTCCCAAAGTGCTGGGATCACAATTGTTAGCCACCATACCCCGCCTACTGTTAGATTCTCCATCCCGCAAGAAAGCAAAACCACATGCAAGTACACAGACACACACACGCAGACCCTGTCAGAGCCGGTTGTGAGATCCCGTATGGCAAACATCCCGAGGGGACATTGCCCAGGAGGCACCCCCGCCCGAGGCCAGCCTGCTCGCGCCACACTGCCTGCCTAGGGCTGGAGACTGCCCGAGAAGCAGCGTCCTGGACACACAGGCCTCAGCTCTCCCCTGCCAGAAAGCAGCAGGACATGGGGCCATCTCGGGGGAGTGCATGCAGAAGTGGGGTGGGGAGCGAGGAAGGGGCAGGCGCCGTCCAGGGGGTCTTCCCGTGGGCTGAGGGCGAGAAGGCCCCAGGTCCCGGACACACCTATCTCCTAAGCAGCAGGACGCCTTTTCTTCCTACAAGCCCCTGTGGGAAGACACTCTGCTGTGGGAGGGTCAGGACTGGCACTTAGGGAGGACAGGGGAGCTCCGGACCCCTACGTGCGGCCCTGGACATGGGTGGGGGCTTCTGTCCGCCTGGCTTCTCCCTTTACAACAGCAGGGAACAAAGTCTCACTCCCCAGTTCTGAGAGTCCTGCTGGAGGACCGTGGACCCAAACAAGGGTCGTGGGAGCCGCAATGTGTAGCCAGGGGTGTGGGGACCCAGGGTGGCATGAAAGGTTGGGCCGGTGCTGGGGGACCCAGGGTGGCATTAAAAGGGGGGCGGGTGCTGGGGGCCGAGCCGCTGCCTATAGGGTCTGTGCTACCCCCGCAGGCAGGTGTCCAGGCAGCTGAGACACCCCGATGCCGCGTCAGGAAAAGACATCGCGCCCGCTCTCGCTGCGAGCCCCAGAGCTCCGGCCCCTTTCCAGACAAGCGAGTGGGGACACTCAGACCTCGGAAAGGCATCCGCCAAAACCCTCGCTGAGGACGAGAGGCTGGAGGCCACCAAGCGGAACCTGAAAAGCAAACGCCACCGACTTCACGAGGAAAACAAATCCATCCCTTCTCGCCGTGAGGATGAAAGTTTCCTCTATTAGACGGCACAGATGGAGCCACGGCCTCACGAAGAGCTAAAGGCACCGAGCTGTGTGAGTTACACGGCTAGCAGGTACCGCCCGAGCGCCACACCTCAGTTATTAACACAAAAATCAACTCTCACTGGGAGAGGACAGAGATGCAGACCAGGAAGCCACGTCGGGGGGGATGCTCAGGACCCGGAGCCACAGCTCATACCCACACTCAACACCAGCCGCTGCGGCCCTGGGAGGGGAGACAGTGCCTGCGCGAGCTGAAGCCCTCTCGACACATGGCAGGAGCCGGGCAGCTCTCCCGCCCTGGAGCACCAACCCCGCAGCCCCCACTGCTGAGCCCTCAGCACAGCCCTGCCAGGCTCCTGTTCCCCCAACATACACACTCGGGGCCCAGAAAGGACCAAGTGAGGCCCAGCGGCCCCGGAACCGCCAAGGAGGAAGCCGTGCTCTCGACAGACATCAGGGGCACAGGCTTTGGTAGAGGCGGTGGGAGTCCCAATCGCCCCTCAATTGCAGGCAGGGCAGGCTGCGCTGTGCTTCCGCGGCCCCCGGACCCGCTCGGGAGGAGCCCCTTGCTCAGCCACCGACGACCCTCAGGTGCCCCGTCAGGAAGTGGGCAGGGCCGTCGTCAGGACGCGTCCCAACACCTGGCTTCCAGACAAGACGGGCGCGTGCCTCCAACCTCTCCCTGCACACAGGAGAAGCACGTAGTGACAAGAGGCTAGCTCTGCTGTGTGCCCCAGAGCCCCAGGGGGCCCTCACCAGTGGCCGTGCCACACACACAGCACCCACTGGGCACCCACCCCGGGGTGTCTCCATGGGACATCCGGTAGCTGCTCAGATGCGACCAGGCACCCTCAGAGGCCCCTCTATGCCCACGTCCGCAGCTCAGGGGGTCCTGAGCACCCTCCAGTCTCTGCCTGTGTGGTGAGCTGTGAAAGGGGCCTGGCGTGTGGAGCGCCCCAGGTGAGGGGACATGGGGGACCTGCAGGGGCAAAGGCATCTGCTCGGCTCCCTCAGTGAGGACGGACACGAAGTGGAGACGGAGGCGCCTGCGTTCATTGTCCCTCCTAACAGCAAACCCAAGGTCTCCCACACGCCCGGCCACCCAAGCTGCTCGGGGCAGCCTCCCTTCTCTTCCAGGCTGCTCTCTGCTCACCACTTGGTTTGCACGAGCGCCTGGTGCATCCCGAGACATCTCTCCCCCAGCTCCACTTCCGTCTGTGGTGCCCACGTGACCTCCCGGGCACACACTGCTTTTCATCCTTGTGGCCTCCAGGCTGGGCAAGGCCCCCTCCTGGGCGCGGGACCACTCGCCTGCTCTCCATCTAGGCTATCCCTCCTGACACGGTGGCCTCGAGCCTGTGGGGCTGCCAGGAGGGAGGTGGGGCCTGCGTCCAGGTTGCTTTTCTTTCTAGCCATCCCTGCCACACCCGCTCCCACAGCCGGGGGCACCCAGAGGCCCAATCCCGCCCACCAATCTCCGGGTGGCACCATTTAAGCCACACAGCATCAGGACACGGCCGTCAAAGGCGGGCACCACCACCAGCCTTCCCTCTGCAGAATCCCCCACCTTCTCCCTTCTTCTCTCTTCCAGGTGAGCCGCTAGCATGGTCAGTTTCTTCTGCTAAGAAACCATGAGTGATGGCCGGGCACGGTGGCTCACACCTGTAATCCCAGCACTTTGGGATCACGAGGTCAGGAGATCGAGACCATCCTGGCTAACACAGTGAAACCCCGTCTCTACTAAAAATAAAAAAAAATTAGCCAGGCATGGCGGCGGGCACCTGTAGTCCCAGCTACTCGGAAGGGTGAGGCAGGAGAATGGCGTGAACCTGGGAGGCGGAGCTTGCAGTGAGCCGAGATCGCGCCACTGCACTCCAGCCTGGGCGACAGAGCGAGACTCCGTCTCAAAAACAAAAAAACAGTCTCCCATCCCCAACACTCAGGCCACCCAGATGGGACTGAACACGCCCCACTCAGCCCCTCTGTGGAGGGTCAACACCAACCACTGAAACAGCCGAGGCCGCAGGGTGAGCACCTGTGCCGCAGCCACAGCTGCCGGTCCGAGTACAGAGTGGCCTCGAGGGCTGGGACTCATGGTCTTCTGTTTTTTGAGACAGGATCTAGCTCCATCGCCCAGGCTGGAGTGCAGTGGCACAGTCTCAGCTCACTGCAACCTCCGTCTCCCGAGTTCAAGCGATTCTCCTGCCTCAGCCTCCCGAGTAGCTGGGACCACAGGCACTGCCACCTCGCTGTCTGATCTTGACTCAGCTCTGTGTGTTCCGGCTTTTCACCAATTCCCATCCCAGCTGCAGATGACAAGCCCCACCCCCAAGAACCTCCGACATGGGCACGGCCCTGCTGGGTCTACCCACTGCTGGGTCTAGGGCCCCACTGCTCCTGGCATCCCCTGGAAGCCTCCCTGTGTGACCCCCGGCCCCTCGTCTGGGTGGTGACGTCACCTCTCAGGTCCTGGCTCCCACAGGGGCTCCCGGCACCCCTGCCCCATGACCTGGAGTCAGGAGGATGAGAAAGGGGCAGGCTCTGCACTCAGGGACGCAACACCGTTGGGAGCTGGGGTGAAGGCTGGCCCAGGCTGTGTGCCGACCCCGCTTCACCCGGCCACCAAGCAGGCTGCCCCGCTGGCGTCTGTTCTGATACAGTGGTCCTGGGTGTTGAGGCCCAGGCAGGTTGGGGCTGCTTTCTCTCTGGGTACCTGGACGAGCACCGGCCTCCCTGTGCCCAGCCTCAGGGCCAGAAGCAAACCCCACTGTGCCCTGCAGAGCTGAGCACTAGGGCCAGGAAGCCACACAGATGCACACCCGACTTTGCAGATGGAGCCCGGGGCGGGCAGCAGCCTCCTCCGGTGACAGGAGTGGCACGGGTGTCTACTTCACACTCCCTGCACACTCAGGGCTGGATCACGCCTCCAAGCACCTCACGATAGCCCCTGTGAGGGGGTCACAGGCGGACAGCAGAGGGAGAGCCCAGCCACACACGCCCTAAGCCTGACACGGACGGAGAAGCCCCTGCCCTGGGCACCGCCCCGCCCCGCAGAGTCTCGCCTGGATACATGCCCACCCCGCGGAGTCTTGCCTCAGCCTCAGTGGGGCGCACTGACCTGCAGCGGGTGGGGGCAGCCCAGTGCAAAACGGGAGCACTGCCTGCACACCTGCTGCCCACAGTGGCCCCCAGCCCATGTCCCCCACCTCAGGACTGGCCCCGACAGTCACTGCCTGTGCCTGAGGCCTTCACAGCAGCAGGAGTGCAGTCAGAGGACAGGCAGGGCTGCCACCCTGGGCCACGGTCCATGGGCACAGGGCGGGTACCCAGCTCCCCATGCCCCTACAAACAAGAGCCGCCACCCCAAGACTCAGCCGCTTCCGAGGGCGCAGACCACTCCCCGGAGGCAGTCACCACTCGGTCGGGGCCCAGCACCCGTCCGTCACCAAGGAAGAAGAGCCTGGCCTCTCCTGGGGTGCTCCGAACCCCAGGGGGTGCCCGAGGGAAGCCAGACAAAGCCGGCGCCTGGAAGGAAGCAGGGATGTGAAGGCCGGGCACCCACGGTGCCCATGCAGGCCTGGGTGTTGGGGGCCTATCCTGCCACGCCTGAGGGCCACAGCGAAGAGCAACGATCTCGGGGAGGGAGAACGGGACGCTGATCCTCATTCAGCCTCCACCCAACCCACACGGCCACAATTCCATCCCAAGGGGAGAGCGCCGGCTCAGGGTCACACACCAAGGATGGCTCCCGGGCACCAAATGAGACTGCAGCCATCCCCACAGGGGCTGCTCTCATGGCCGGCTCTGGGCCAGAGCCGACCCTCCCTGTCAGCTCCCACCCCCTTCCCCAGCCCGGGCCTCAGGCCTCTACCTGCCCTGTTCTTCTCGGGGTCCTCCATCTGGTCTGGGCCCAGGGCCAGTTCCCTGGGGAGGGCCCTGGCAGCCCCCTTCTCTGACTGTCTCCACTCAGTGATGTCACAGTCCCTGGACTGACATCACCACACAGCCCTTAGCCCAGAGCCCAGGGAAAAGCTGAGGGGAGGCCAGGGACCTCGCTGGGCTGGGCAGGTGCAGGCCACCCCCGTCCCAGTGCCCTCAGAGACACCTAGACTCATGTGGACCCGGCCGTGGCCCCTTCTGGCCAGCGCCATCCAGGCCGGCCCTGCCCTCTGACCTGGGGCCGCAGGGGCTGGCCACCATGGGCTCGGTCCCCCATCACCCCGATTCATCTGCACCCCAAGGAAAGAGAATGCGGAGTTTCAGCGCCCCAGGACCCACGAGCCCCCGAACACCAGGGCAGCACATACTTCCAGTCCCAGGGCCAGAGCAGAGCGGGGCCAGGCCCAGCCCGGTGACACAGGGCAGACGGAAGGGCGCCCTCCAAAACAGAAGAGCCCAGGAGCTGCCGCGGCCGGGACGAACCAACCGCAGGCTGACCTAGGCCGGCAATGGGTTTAACGCGTTGGGTGCAAAAGAGAAACACTCCACAAATCAGGGAGAGAAGGGAAGCTGCCCACGCCACAGGAGGAGGCTGAGGAGTGAATGCCGGGGCCAGGTGGGGCCAGTCCTCACAGCACTGTGGAGACCAGACCAAGGGCGACTGTCATCACCACGAAAAGGCCTCGTCCACGGCAGAAGCCAACCTCACCACACCGATTGCACCAGAGATGCCCATGAGGAGAGCCGGCCTCCGAGAACGCGGCTGAGCCGGCACAGGCCACCGTCAGCAAAGGCAAGGACCCAGGTAAAGAGCACAGGAGGGCCATGAGCAACCACAGCACAGCGGCCCAGACGGACCCTGACTGGGGGAGGGGGCGAGGCTGCGCAATGGCAGCTGGGACTGGACCCTGCTGGGGAGTGGCGGGGGGGCGGCGAGGCTGCGCAGGGACCCCTATCCCACAGGAGGTCAGCCTTGCCCTGGTGATGGCACAGACCATAGGTGAGGGCCACGGGCGGAGCTGACTCCAGGGAAAAGCTGGCCCTCACCCAGAGCTGCACATCCCACTGGCAGCCTTGGCGGAGGGCACTGTCCCTGCAACTTCTCTACATAGGGGCAATTTTCCCAAAATTCAGATTATGCAAAGGGAGGCGCGGCTGCCATGGACTCTAGGACCTCAGACAGCATCAACAAAAGCAAAGGGGACACATTTGCATCAAATCCATCACAAAGACGGCCTTCCAGACTCTGGGGGAAGTGAGAACACCGACGCACAGGCCCGCACGGCGCACAGTCCACCAAGGCGCACAGGCCCGCAAGGCGCACAGGCCCCCACGGCGCACAGGCCCCCACGGCAACCCTACTCCGCCTCAGCAGCCTCAGTTCTGGTTCCTGTACCCTGGCCCGGGGGCAGAGCTGACCCGGTCTTGCCAGGGGGGCAGGGGTCCCCTGGCCCCAGGTGATGCCACAGACAGCGGAGGGAAGCACTCAGGCAGAGTCAGGCACCCCACCAGGAAAGAAAGCTCCCACGGCAGGTCCCGGGGCTGGGTGGGACCCTAGGGACCCTGGGTGGCTCCCATCGGAATCCTGCTAGGTCTGGGAGGACACTGGTCCTTCCAGAAGCGTAACCACAAACAACCATGGAAAATCTGGGTGGGCTGCGTTTCTACGTTTCCTTTTCTTTTTTTTTTTTTCCAGATGGAGTCTCACTCTGTCGCCCAGACTGGAGTGCCTTTTCCCCTCACAGCGTGGGAGCCAACGGGTGATGTCCCGCCCTGGTTTCCCTCCACCCGAAGGCAGTCACCTTGGTCGCCGGCTCCTGCCTCTGCGATGATCCCCACGAGGGCTGCAGAGTGGAGGGCACAGCGGGGTTCGGCCTCATTACCCGGGGAGCCCCAGGCGAGAGCTTGGTCCTGGGGAGCTGCCCAGGTCTTTGCCATCCCCCGGCCTCCATCCAGTCCCTCACGACTTGGCTCCTGGCCCTGGGCACCGAGCGATGCCTGCTAGGCCCGTGCGCCTCAGAGTCAGGCCTGTATTCACTTCAGCTTTTATTAAGGGCTTTCAGGGATTGGCTCTTCTAAATCATCATCAAATATATTGTTATTAAAAGGATATGTACACTTTGGGAGGCCGAGGTGGGCGGATCACTTGAGGTCAGGAGTTTGAGACCATCCTGGCCAACATGGTGAAACCCTGTCTCTACTAAAAATACAAAATTTAGCTGGGCGTGGTGGTGGGCGCCTGTAATCCCAGCTACTCGGGAGGCTGAGGCAGGAGAATCGCTTGAACCTCCTGGAGGCTGCAGTAAGCCGAGATGGCACCACTGCACTCTGCCTTGGCGACAGGAAGACTCTGTCTCAAGAAACAAACAAAAAAGCAGGTTGAACACACGGAAGCGTTGCACCCTCTGTCACCCGGGCAGTCTCAGTGCCCAGAGGCCGCAAACGACACACACACTATCGGTGTACTAGTGTCTTCCCCCTGGGTCCTCATCTAGCCCTGCACCCACCGCCCACGGAGGAGCCAGCGTGTCCTTGCTGTCCTGCAGTGACCACCACAACCCCTTTCACACAGAACGGTTGGGCTATCCCCCAAAATGACATGCCAAGTCCTAGCCCCCAGTAAACAGAAACGCGGCCTTATGTGGAAATGAGGGTGGCCCCAGTCTCACCACGTCTCAGCTTAATGTCATGTTTCACGATGTTGAGTCAGAAACAGCAGAGAAGAGGAGGGTGGGGAGGTGGACTCTGCTTCCTCCCGCCCAGCCTGCGAATCCTGGGGACACCCAAGCATCCCCCGTCCTGGCCCACTGGGAGGCTGCACCCCCCAACTGGGACCCCCGTCCCATCATACACAACACAGCTGGCGCTGCCCTCTCAGGGAGCCCTGGAGGACCAAGGGCACACAAGCGGCCAGCCTCAGGATCTGGCAGGGTCTGAGCTGGAAGACATCACGTGGTCCCAGAAGGCCCCCATCTTTGATTTTTATAAATCGGCCAAATGGCAGAAAATGTTGCCTCCCCAGGCACACGGTGTCTCCTCTTGCCTCCCCTCATTTCAACAGCAGGGGACAGACACAGACCACCCGCCTGGCCAGCTCTCTGACCCCCACGGTCTCCCCTGAAAACTGGGCACATGGCTCACCCAGGGACCTAGGGGGGCACCAAGGCAAATACACGCCCAGCTCACCCAAAACTTTCCAACACACTCCGCCACAATGCCCCCATAGTCCCCACCTGGAGGGTGTCCAGCAAAACTCCCACAGCCCCTCCCTCTTAGATGCCCCAGAGCAGGTGACACCTCCCTTCCAGAGGCCAGGCCCTGCCTGAAGCGGGCTGGAGGGAGGCAGTGGGGACGGGCGCTGGTGGCCTCTGGGGCACGAGAAGGCGCCTTTGTGTTTGGTGGTCGGCAGTGGATTTAGGCCAGGCCAGCCCAGGAAGACCCGTCGTCCCGACATGGAAGGAGGCTTTGGCTGTTTCTAAGCGCACCCCCTCCTGTCTTCGGGGGAGTCTTGGACAATTTTCCCTGAAAAGCGGACAGTGCTCATCTCCTAGAATCTGAAGTTTGGGAAAGAACGCCTTCTTCAGATGTTGCTGTAACGTTCAAGCTCTCCGACATTGCTGAGCTCTCTTTCGCTACTTAAAAATAAACACTGATGGCCGGGCGTGGTGGCTCAAGCCTGTAATCCCAGCGCTTTGAGAGGCCGAGGCGGGCGGATCACGAGGTCAGGAGATCGAGACCATCCTGGCTAACATGGCGAAACCCCGTCTCTACTAAAAGTACAAAAAATCAGCCAGGCGTGCTGGCGGGCGCCTGTAGTCCCAGCTACTCGGGAAGCTGAGGCAGGAGGAGAATGGTGTGAACCCAGGAGGCGGAGCTTGTAGTGAGCCGAGATCGCGCCACTGCACTCCAGCCTGGACCACAGAGTGAGATTCCATCTCAAAAAAATAAAATAAAATAAATAAGTAAATAAGCATTAATTTTTGTGGTCTTGAAAGGCCAGGGCCCCCAGCACTTTGGGAGGGCGAGATCGGGTGGAAATCACAAGAGATCAAGGAGAATCGAGACCATCCTGGCTAACACGGTGAAACCCCGTCTCTACTAAAATACAAAAACTAGGAGGCGCGTCAGTGGCGCGCGCCGTAGTCAGCTACTCAGGGCGAGCATCGCAGGCAGGAGAATGGCGCTAAACGGGAAGGGCGGAGCTTGCAGTGAGCTGAGATCCGGCCACTGTACTCCAGCCTGGGCGACAGAGCAAGACTCCGTCTCAAAAAAAAAGAAAGGCCAGGGCCACCTGGATGATCCTGTGGGGCTGGGGCCTGTCGGTCACTCTATGGACACTGGATGCCCCCGGCCTCTGAACTTGCTGTGGCGAAGGTCATGGGCAGCACATCCATCTGTCGGTCCCACTGCCAGTGCTCGTCACAGGGTGCAAGATCTGGCCCTGTGCCTGACACGGTAGCGGGGACACCAGGCACATGCAGGACCCCTGGCTTTCTAGACGGCGTGGGGATCAGGACAGCGGAGTCTCTGAGGCCCTGCAGGACAGAGAAGCATCCGGCCCGAGGACGGAAGAAACGCCAGGAGAAACCAGGTCCCTGGAAGAGGAGGGGAGTGGTCATCGCTGTGCAGAGATCCAGTCCCCAAAACCCGGCAGGGGACAGACAGTACAGGTGCTATGCATGGCGGTCAGCGGCTTCTCAGATGGTCCAACCCGGAGAGGCCGTGTGACCAGCGGTTCCACCGCTAGACGTCCGCCCGAGAACCACCACGCGGCCATGCGGGAACCGGACACGCGGATGCCATGCAAACATCCATCACGGAAATAAGCGCGTGGCCAGCCACGCACCGGAACACAACTCAGCCACGAACAGGAGCGAGGCTCGGACGCGGGCCACTTGGCTCAGTGAGAGACGCCAAACACACAAGGTCTCGGCCTGTGTGATTCCACCCCAGGAGGTCCCTAGAACCCTCAGAGTCACAGAGACAGAAAGTAGGATGGGGGTGCCAGGGGCTGGAGAGGGCAAGGGAGTGAACGTTTCACGAGGACAGTGTCTCAATCTGGGAAGGTGGGAAGGTTCTAGAAAGGACGGTGTGAAGCCGGGCGCGGTGGCTCAAGCCTGTAATCCCAGCACTTTGGGAGGCTGAGACGGGCGCATCACAAGGTCAGGAGATCAAGACCATCCTGGCTAACACGGTGAAACCCCGTCTCTACTACAAAATACAAAAAACTAGCCGGGCCGTGGTGGTGGGCGCCTGTAGTCCCAGCTACTCCGGAGGCTGAGGCAGGAGAATGGCGTAAACCCGGGAGGCGGAGCTTGCAGTGAGCTGAGATCCGGCCACTGCACTCCAGCCTGGGTGACAGAGCCAGACTCAGTCTAAAAAAAAAAAAAAAAAAAAAAAAAAGAAAGGACGGTGTGGAAGGCTGGCTGCTGAAAGGGCCGGGGCTCCCTTTGCAGGTGATGAGAACGCTCTGGAATAAGAGGTGGTGGCTGCACACACACAGGAGCCTTGACCATGGCGGGTCTGAACTGACAGGTCCACTCGGACGCAGATTTTTCCCAATAAACGCTGCCCTGAGGGCGCCGGCCTCTCCTGGCTCCCTCCCACTCTGCCACCCGAGACAGCGAGACCCACCCTCCCCTCCTCAGCCCGCAACGTGAACACGATGAGGACAGAGGCTTCCACGAGCGTCACTTCCACTGCGTGGAGAGCAAACAGGGTCTATCTTCTTTATGCTTTTCTCGACATGTTCTGGTCTCCAGCTTCCCTCACTATGAGAACGCAGCACCTAACACAATACACGAGGCGTGTGAGCGTGGACCACATGTTCTCCCAAGGCCTCCGGTCACCAGCAGGCTGTGGGCAGCGGAGTCTGGAGGACTCGAAAGCTATACGAGGGTATTTTACTGCATGAGGGGCTGGAGCCATAAACCCCACCCTGCTCAAGGGTCAGCTGTACAAAAATCACTTATGTGCACACGTCGCTGAATTCTACCGAATGTGGATTATGTTTTGACCAAAAAAAGTGGCTCATGCTCTGAGGACCATACCCAAATAAGGCTGGTAAGAGAACAGTGAGCTGGGTCAGTGTAATGGGATCGTTAACTTTTTTTTTTTTTTTTTTTTGAGAGGGAGTCTCGCTTTGTCACCCAGGCCACGGGCGAGGTCCAAGGGGCAGCGGAGGTCCCTGACCACTTCCAACAGGACAGCCATGGTACACCCAGGATTCAGGGAGCGAACCCCACACAGCACCCCTCTCCGCAGCGTACAGGCCTGACCAGCGTGATGGCACGGCATGTACACAGCTGTGCGGCCACCGCCAGGGCACACGCACACCACCCCTGCGGCCACAAGCCTCGGCCCAGCCCACCTGCAGGCTCCAGGGCTCTGGCTGGAACCCCCTCAGCGCACCCACCCTCAGAGGAACTCAAAGGCACACGCAGCAAGTCAGAGGCAGACACAGGCCAGTCCCTGTCCTCATGCTGGTCCCGTCCTGGGAACTGACCGCAGGCAGAGCCTGGGCATCGGTGCCAGCCGCCCGGCCCCAGGACCACTGGAGCAGAAGCCCGAGGGGCACAGCCGCCGCAGACAGGACAAGCCCTCACACACTTGCCATCCTTCTTGGGGACGGAGGTCAGATGGGAAGGGGCAGAGGTCATCGCAGATGACATGAGCATCCTGGAGTCACCGGGGAAACAAAGTCCCTAAGGAGGGCGGGTCCCGCTGGCAACACAACCCACAGCACCACGGCCAAGGGGGCAGGACTGGCCATGAGGCCTCACAGGCGGGGACTCTGTCCACGAATCCAGACCAGGACTTGGGGTGCCTCACTCCAGAGGGTGAAAGTTTCCAGATAATTGAAGGATTACCTTGAAGCACAACTTTCTTCAAGGATCCAACGGGCAATCACGCATCAACGAAACATCGCTGGAGACAACAAAAAACCTCTTAGATTTCCTCTGCCTTTTACATAGCGACAGGGCTGGGCGCAGGGGCTCACGCCTATAATCCCAGCTATGTGGGAGGCTGAAGCGGGTGGATCACCTGAGGTCAGGAGTTCAAGACCAGCTTGGCCAACATGGAGAAACCCCGTCTCTACTG